GTGAAGGCTACTGAAAGTGAGAGGCGATAAGAGATTTTAGTCCGGATCGTGCATGTGACATAAAGCACGTAGTGGGCGCCTTCTGTGACAGAAGCTTCGCTTTCGTTCGGAGCTCAGATTGCATGTGTCAGGTCAAAAATCAGGTGCCTTACCATTTTTTTTTGAAAAAAATAAGGCCAAACCCTTCAAGACGACTTTACTTTTGACTCTCACGCTTTTGTTAGAATGAGTTTTATCGGCCTTCATTGGCTACATCAATCAGACTGTATCGATTCCATTGCTTCCTACTTTGATGGACGAGGTTCGCTCCAAGTTCAAACGTAAGTTCACAAAAGAACGCATGAGTAGATAAAGCAGTTTGGGTTTATCGGTCACTTCGTGGGATGCGCTACGCATTCTATAATAATTTCCTTCAGAGTCCTAGCATCATTTTGAAGGTTATGACCTAGGCAATAATTGGCAGGGCTTGTCTTCCACTAATCTGTGTTTTGTCATCCTAGACCGATCCCTTGCTAAGTTCCGTGCCGGAATGGAATGAAGGCCTGGTCGAGATAAGTGAGGGTCGATGAGATTTGAGTTCGGACCGTGCATGTATATGAAGTACGTAATGGGCGTCTCTGGTGACACAACGTTCACCATGATCAAAAACTCCACAGGACCAGAACCTGTTTTATTTCCTTGAGTCAACCAGTGGTGCATAGGAGGAGGCTCGCTGGCAAGAGATCACAACGAAAGGGGAATGGAAACGAATCGACCATGGAGAGTCTTGGGTTTCCGGAAAATCCCCTCTCCCACGAAGTTCCTCGTGATGGTGTCAACGTAAGCTGACTTGACGAGCTACTTGTTTACAATGCAGGAAATGCGATCACAACATTGACAACAGACTTTCCCATTGCGTGAGATATTAAAAAATGGAAGGCAGCCAGAATGCAACCAGCAGGAGCTGTTAAGTAACCCAATTGTACATAGAGCTTATCAGAAATTAAAAGAGAAATTTTTATTGCAAGTGCAAGTACGCTACAGATGACTATGCGAATCCAGTCAAGTGTCACTAAATATATCGGTATTCCAGTGTGGTGACGGTGGCATAGATTCGGTTGTAGGTTATGACTGGGACAATGTTGGACGTTGAAGTAAGAGTCGTGTTCCTGTCATCTTCTGAGCAAAGCCTGGAAGACATTCACGATTAACCTCATGTCCATTCGAAAGCATCCCGGTTCTCTGTTTTTAGGGAACGAACCTGTATCCAGTGAGGCGTTGATCGGGATGAGTTTTGATTTCTACTCCAGCATAAGTGCATCCATCGACGGCAATGCCTTTGGGAAAACTAACAAACTTCACTTGGACTTTCTTACCAGCAGGCGCCTGAGCAGTAACGACTTTCAGCAATGGCATCTGTGCTTCCTATGCAGGAATAGCGCACCTTGATCCAATAGTTACATTTCATGAAATCCTCTCGTGGTGTGACGCCGGCTTGTCGATCACCGAGGTCATCTTTCAGCGTTTGCCATTTATTGGTTGCAACCAGCTCCGCTCCGCATCCATCTGGCTAAATCGAGTCTTTGAAGATTTTAAACGAATTGTAATATATTGAATAATACGGTTCCATACACGAGACTCGATAATTACTGTGAGACTAAAATCACTGGTACTGTTCACACAAGCAGGAGAGAAACAATCATTATAAAAATCCAGTATGGTAGGATTTGATTCACAGACCATGAGTGTGAATACAACTTTGACATCACTTCACATCTTAATATTGAAAATTATAATCTACGTAACAGAATGACCCACTCTTCTGTCACACAGCGGGCCACCATATCCGCTAGGACAGATGCATTTCTTGCAGTCACGTGGATGAGGGAATCCATAATTCTTACACATCGACGGTCCCTTGCACATATCTAGAAGCCCTTTTTTACGAGCCGCTCGGCTACATGGAATCCGAACGACCCACCTGTGCACTTATAATGTTTGTTGATCATAAGCAGATCGTAGAAGCCAATGAACGGCGAGCCGAGTGTTTCCATGTACTGAATGTCCTTTGGTACCATAGTCGGCTTCTTGTTCATGGAGGAACTGCAAAAAAGTGAGCTATCGTTCCATATGATGCTGTTTCCACCACTATTCTACCATGTGGCTCCGTAGTGCATTAGACTACCATAGTCATAGGTCAGGCCATAATTGTCATTCCTTTCGATCGTCTGAACCGCAAACTGGTCGAGCCAGTCAGACTAAAATTGCAGGCGTTCTGAGAGTCTTCATAAGACTGGCAACACGAAAGGCAAGATTATTACTTCGATATTATTTGTGTCGACCGTTATAAATTGGTCTCGGTCATGCCTTGCATGTGTATGGAAGAATCCAATAGCATGGCCAAGTTCGTGGGCAGCGGTTCCAATCTGAAACGGCGAAAATGGCAGGCATCAACACACTGCCCCAGTTCAATCGAAAGTGTGCCCAAACGCCTTTTCTTATTCTTTCGAAATGTTGCACTAATTGCAGAAATTCGCTTCTCTTCTCGTGTCATCTATGATACATCACCAGCTTGATATATAGCAATTAGCAAATCTTCCAAAGTTCGAATTTTTGCGGAACTTAGTCCTAAGAATGCACTTTTCGTTCCGAATACTTTCGTATTTAGTGGGAGACGTCACTGAGTGTCAGGGTTTTTAGCCCTCACCGTTTCACAGCCTTTGCCAAGTGAAAGGTTCTGTATGCCTCCGAGTCTGCCGACATACGACCAACATCCGTCCTCCATGTACACACGAATGCTATCCTCTGCTGAAAGCCATCAATCGTCGCCTGTCGCATCTTCTTTCCCATTCATACATGTTTCCCCTTACCGGATTCTTCTTGATTCGGGACTTCTTTGAAATCGATGCAAGTGTCAGCCATCCATTGGGCTGCCGCTTTCTTGAAGACACTTTTCACTTGTGGACCTAAAAAAGGACTAGTTTTGCTCGCTCTTTATCGTATGACCCCAAAACATATAAGAAAACTGACTGGCACTTGAATCGAAGAAGTATTTGACACCTTCATGCCATCTCATACCAGGGTACTTTGGGTCTCGAAGAGCTTGCCTCCTAGCGCGGGTACCGTCGTTGGTGATATCTTCGATAATTTGGTCTTCTTGTTCCCTGAACATGACCTATATCTCTAAAGCCGTAGCAAAAGTCGACAATGTGCTCTGCATTAATCAGTGTCCTTTTTCAGCAAACTTGTATTTTTGTAAGACCGTCGAAGGTATCAAATATCTTGAACTCCTTGGAAATCTTGAGCTCCACAACATTTTATGAACCATCTGTGTGATGGGCCTGGCAAGTTTAGCTGTTATAGCCGGCCTCCTTAGGCATTCGACATATTGTACTTCGTATATGTGTACCTGTTTTAGTACGAAGAGGTAGATAAGATCGCAAGAAAAACGAACTTCGTAAGAACCATATCTCCTTGAAATAGAGCGCCGGCAATATGGTTCTGTAGGTTCACTTCTTCAATCGAGTCTCCCATTGGTTGCACTTTATCAGTAGACCTTCTTTTGACCAACTAAAATATCCACAAAATTATCAGCTACAAACGACAAACTTTTTGAAAATGCGAACCTTCAGTCTTTCTAAAAGCTCCGCTCTTTGCTCCTTGGTCAAGGTGAGCTTCTTCAATATCTTATCTTTGAAGCCACTGAGCCTTTTTTTGAAAGCAGCCATCTTATTGTTGAGGACCTGCAGAAGTTCGTGGATAACGGTGCAGTTGTGTATTATGAGCAAGCGATTCTCATTTTACCTCTTTAATGCGGTGTGCAGTATTTTTAATCTTGTCGACCACTCTTTCCTTGATAAGACCTTTGATACTTTCAGCAGAATTTTTCAGGTCGACTAGACCGGCGCTCACGCAAACCGTGAAAAGAAGACTGAGGAGAACGAGTGCTCTCATCCTGAAATGTGAACTGAAAGATCCGGAACGAACATGAGCGTTTCTAAGAAGAAAGCGAACAGTAAGCTGGGGATGCCTCCCCCTCATCGTATTTATACTGCAAGGACTCTGTTGAGGTCGATACGTGTCATTAGATATTTGGACAATTCGCTGTGATTCCAGCTGTTCTTCCGTGCCTCATTACCTCATTAACTGACAGTGGAACGTTGCTCATGTATAACATGACGTTTTGCTCCGCTGGAACATTGAACGAGGATTTTATGCAAACATTTCCTCTTCAGAGCATTTGTTTATGGATATTCATTAGTCTATAGAAGAAAACGTTTGTCCGCGTTTGAGGAAAGACGCGCTCAAGTTGTAACGTGACTGAGCGCTGGATTAAGAGCGTAACAAGTTTTCGATTCTCCTTCAAATTGAAAAAAATAAACGCGAGATCTATTGAGAAGAAGTCCCAGGAATGCAATGGTTCCCAGGAAGCAGAGTCTAAGCAGTTTTATTATCTTCAGGAATGTGCTTCAGCCCATGACCCACTGCAACCTCCACTTCTTCATGATCAAAATCGCCTCTTTTTCACGATAGAAAGTGGCCTTTTAACCTCCATGTTGAAATGCTTTAGTGCTTAAGACCTCATCAAAGAGCTACCTATAAATCAAAAAGCAAGTTCGCAATAAACTATATACTGATCACCTCCACCACACCATCGACTCGACAAGGCCTTCATTCTTTACAGTCATGTAGGAGTAATGGGACCATGCCGGAGTTCTTTGACGTCTCAAGGGATCGGTTTAGGAACCGCTCTAAAGGACACGGCAAAGTCTTTAATGAGAGTCACCTGAGAGCATGGTTTATTTTTTCAGCAAAATTTTGCTTGCTTCCTAACTGCATATTGAGGCACGGAAGAACAGCTGGAATCACAGCGAATTGTCCAAATATCTAATGACACGTATCGACCTCAACAGAGTCCTTGCAGTATAAATACGATGAGGGGGAGGCATCCCCAGCTTACTGTTCGCTTTCTTCTTAGAAACGCTCATGTTCGTTCCGGATCTTTCAGTTCACATTTCAGGATGAGAGCACTCGTTCTCCTCAGTCTTCTTTTCACGGTTTGCGTGAGCGCCGGTCTAGTCGACCTGAAAAATTCTGCTGAAAGTATCAAAGGTCTTATCAAGGAAAGAGTGGTCGACAAGATTAAAAATACTGCACACCGCATTAAAGAGGTAAAATGAGAATCGCTTGCTCATAATACACAACTGCACCGTTATCCACGAACTTCTGCAGGTCCTCAACAATAAGATGGCTGCTTTCAAAAAAAGGCTCAGTGGCTTCAAAGATAAGATATTGAAGAAGCTCACCTTGACCAAGGAGCAAAGAGCAGGAGCTTTTAGAAAGACTGAAGGTTCGCATTTTCAAAAAGTTTGTCGTTTGTAGCTGATAATTTTGTGGATATTTTAGTTGGTCAAAAGAAGGTCTACTGATAAAGTGCAACCAATGGGAGACTCGATTGAAGAAGTGAACCTACAGAACCATATTGCCGGCGCTCTATTTCAAGGAGATATGGTTCTTACGAAGTTCGTTTTTCTTGCGATCTTATCTACCTCTTCGTACTAAAACAGGTACACATATACGAAGTACAATATGTCGAATGCCTAAGGAGGCCGGCTATAACAGCTAAACTTGCCAGGCCCATCACACAGATGGTTCATAAAATGTTGTGGAGCTCAAGATTTCCAAGGAGTTCAAGATATTTGATACCTTCGACGGTCTTACAAAAATACAAGTTTGCTGAAAAAGGACACTGATTAATGCAGAGCACATTGTCGACTTTTGCTACGGCTTTAGAGATATAGGTCATGTTCAGGGAACAAGAAGACCAAATTATCGATGATATCACCAACGACGGTACCCGCGCTAGGAGGCAAGCTCTTCGAGACCCAAAGTACCCTGGTATGAGATGGCATGAAGGTGTCAAATACTTCTTCGATTCAAGTGCCAGTCAGTTTTCTTATATGTTTTGGGTCATACGATAAAGAGCGAGCAAAACTAGTCCTTTTTTAGGTCCACAAGTGAAAAGTGTCTTCAAGAAAGCGGCAGCCCAATGGATGGCTGACACTTGCATCGATTTCAAAGAAGTCCCGAATCAAGAAGAATCCGGTAAGGGGAAACATGTATGAATGGGAAAGAAGATGCGACAGGCGACGATTGATGGCTTTCAGCAGAGGATAGCATTCGTGTGTACATGGAGGACGGATGTTGGTCGTATGTCGGCAGACTCGGAGGCATACAGAACCTTTCACTTGGCAAAGGCTGTGAAACGGTGAGGGCTAAAAACCCTGACACTCAGTGACGTCTCCCACTAAATACGAATCATCGGAACGAAAAGTGCATTCTTAGGACTAAGTTCCGCAAAAATTCGAACTTTGGAAGATTTCCTAATTTCTATATATCAAGCTGGTGATGTATCATAGATGACACGAGAAGAGAAGCGAATTTCTGCAATTAGTGCAACATTTCGAAAGAATGAGAAAAGGCGTTTGGCACACTTTCGATTGAACTGGGGCAGTGTGTTGATGCCTGCCATTTTCGCCGTTTCAGATTGGAACCGCTGCCCACGAACTTGGCCATGCTATTGGATTCTTCCATACACATGCAAGGCATGACCGAGACCAATTTATAACGGTCGACACAAATAATATCGAAGTAATAATCTTGCCTTTCGTGTTGCCAGTCTTATGAAGACTCTCAGAACGCCTGCAATTTTAGTCTGACTGGCTCGACCAGTTTGCGGTTCAGACGATCGAAAGGAATGACAATTATGGCCTGACCTATGACTATGGTAGTCTAATGCACTACGGAGCCACATGGTAGAATAGTGGTGGAAACAGCATCATATGGAACGATAGCTCACTTTTTTGCAGTTCCTCCATGAACAAGAAGCCGACTATGATACCAAAGGACACTCAGTACATGGA